ATACATTTATTTGTCAATCAATTCAATGATTATAATAATAAGAATGATAAATTAAGAAAAACGAATTAAAAAAAAATAAAAAAATAATGAGCGAATAGCAACAATGCAAATAAAAAATAGGGCGCCCACAGAAAAAAGTTTAAAAAACATTCTGTTCTAAATTAGAGAGATTATTACTCTTGTGATTGATTTTCCTGCAAAACAACTATAGTCTAAGAGAGATTTTTCAGTTTACGCATTTCGTATCAGTTGAATGAGGCTAGAGAGCATATGTGAGTTCCACATTTCAGCCCCAAAGGGGCTGCGCTAACAAGCTTTTATTATGCACACATAGCGATATATAAACAACGTGGCTGAACGTAAGAAAAATAAATTTTCAAAATATTCTTATATTCTAGATTATTTCTCGATCATTTTTTTATCGAGAAAATGTCGATCTCGATCCATGATCGAGAGATGACTATCCTGAAGTGGTCTGATACAAATCGGACCAGCTCGAGATGGGACAGATCTCAGGATCTGGCCTCCTTGAGTTTTCAGATTACGAATAATTAAGTGGAATTAAATTGAAAAAAAATCGAAATATGATTTTCCAAAAGAACCAATAGAAAATGTGTTGTACGAAATGTGTCGTGGTCTTCCTGGAGAAAATGTGTCGCACTTTAATGTGTCGCAAATCACGACACATGCGACACATATTAACTTAGTGTGAACACCCGCCCCCACACGCTTCAAAAATTGTTCTACCTTTACGTTTAAGAACTTTCATGAAAGTTGGATTTCGTGATTTTGGAAACGTTACGATAAGCTTAAGTCTGATGCAACTTAAACTTTCAATAGATATTCATTCATGTAAAATCTAGCGTTAGTTCTAGCGTGAAATGCAGCCATCCAATCTGAAATGAGTTATTGCTTCCGAAAAACCCTGCGTTTTTACTCAAACATATCTTGTTTTCTCCTTAAAAATCACCTTAGTGCAAAGATAAGGCTATATTCGTGATCAGGGAGTAAAACTGCGTCGAATGATACATAACTGATTATATTTTCTATAAGAAAAAGCTTTTTGAAAACATTTTGGCTAGCGTATCTCACAGATGGTTTGAGAAAATTTTGTTCCGAACAATGGTTCATTTTATGAAAGGTGATTTTCTAAGTGATTTATAATCACTTGTGACCAACAAAGCATCGTTCTTAAACATAAAGTTCAATGTTAATTTTATCTTTAAGTGGTTGAGGTAAACGATAATGTGCACGAAAACAATGTTGATTATCAATTACTGGTGAGCGGTTTAATTCAATTTTAACACAGAATGAGTTTATTTGGATCGATATTAATTATTTGTTGATCTTGAGTTGTGAACAATTGATAAGGAATCCATTTATTAGAAATATCTTCATCTTCAATTGATAGTTCTAGAATGCCTATAGATTCAGAACTCGTATTATGAAAACTAAAACGAGAAAATGAAAATGAATTAATAAATCGAGGGTGGGTGGCTGTGGGACATACCCACACCCCAAACGCACACACCCACACTCCAGTCACACTCACAGCCACAGCCACACCCTAGTACAACCTTCCATTATGGTTTTGGGTTAGATTTATTCGACAACACAAGCAATGATGACCTTGAAATTCTTACCAAGCGAATTTCTCTGAGAAATTTTTCACTACCAGTCATCTCGGCACTAAGCAAAAACAAAATAATGACGAAGGAAAATATGTAGAATAGTTTCAATCGAAGATGATTGTAAAATATTTCAACAGCATCATCTCTCTTCTTATCTACGAAAGAAACACATTCTTTTTCCTTCATCACGTCATATGAAAAATCATTTATTTTTTTTTTTGGTCTCAGGCGAGAACAGACGACATTCGGCGTACTTCTTCGAGAAAGCAAAAGAAAGGAAGAGAACAAAAAAAAGCATAACCACGGCATACACATATACTTTTTCTTTTTCTTTCATTTCAACATATAAAACGTGGAGCATTTTCGTCCCACTCAAGTCACACTGCAAGCAAAACAAAAATACAGACAAAGCAAAGCAAAAATACAGACAAAGCAAAGATGAATTTGGAATCATTATCCAACGAATTATTACTCGATCTATTCGAATATCTTTCTGTTGTTCATCTTCTTCGGGCTTTCCGTGGTCTGAATGTTCGTTTCGATACTCTTCTATGTACCCATTTTCAAGTCTATGGTCATCTCAACTTTCAATCTGTGTCCAAACATGATTTTGATATTGTCTGTCAACAACATCTTCCATCTGTCATTGATCGAATTATTTCACTTCGTCTATCCGACGACGATGATACTCCACAGCAAATCGATATTTTCATATCGTATGGTTTTTCTCTTCGTCAATTCATTCAATTACAAACACTTTCATTGTATCACTTATTTTCATACGAGACAACCATGAAAATAATCGAAGAATTACATCATTTACCTTATTTCACTCACCTCAATTTCATCGATAATCACTTTTTATGTGACGAAACAGACGTCGAGAAAATGATCGATACCATTTGGAGTCTACCAAAACTTACTCATTGTCATTTATATATTGATTTTCATCAAAATGAACGATTGTTTCCTAGATTAAATACAATCTCATCATCTCTTGAATATCTTTCTGTCGAAAAGTTCAATTTCGATTTGAGTAAATTAGATCATCTATTTCAACATACACCTCATCTTCGACATCTTAATGTGCGACTGTTCGATCATTCATTCGATCAACAATTATCATGTTCTATTCCATTGATGATAACATTGAAACTTGTTATTCAAAATTCGTTAAATCATTTAGTGAACCTTTTGCAGAACTTGTCCAATTTGTGTCATTTGACAGTTGAGACACTGGACATCGACTTGGATGGACAACAATGGGAACAGATAATAATTGATCACTTACCCAAACTTAGAATCTTTCAACTTAAAATGCATATCAAACTCGAGGACAATGATGATAAGCAATTAAAAATCGATAAATTGATCACTTCATTTCGAAGTCCATTCTGGCTCGATGAACATCAATGGTTTGTCCGATGTCATTGTATTGAAGAGTGTTGTCTCAATAGTATTTTACTCTACACATTACCATATGCATTTGGCTATTTCGATCCTATTGTCAAGATCTCATCGATATCTACTTGCCCACATGAAAATGATTATTGGTCTTACAATCGTGTACATAGTTTGATCTATCGGACTCCCATAATTCGTGAATCGCCTCTGTCTAAAATTGGTTTTCCTAATATTCGTCGTCTTTGTCTCAGTCTACCTTCTAATGATCATTTTTGGTCTGTCGTTACCACACTTGATCAATTGATTTCACTTAATCTAGCTCTGCACGATGATGATAATGATAATAATAATCATGTTCGATCTCAATTGCAAGTCGTTCTCGATCGAGCACCTCATCTCTATTCTTTAGCATTCAGGTCATGGTCAGATTTGCAAATGTGTCTTGTTGACAATAGAAGTTTGTCAGTTCGTTGGCTTGATTTACAAGGATACGATGAAAATTGGTCCGAGGAACGATGGTTCAACGATGAGCAGTGTACTGAATTGTCTTGCTCATCACTTGGTATTCAATGCGAAGTGCTTCTCATTCGAGTTGAACATCGAGCGACTATTCTTAATCTTGTCAATCGGATGACGAGCCTTCGAGCGCTAAGTATCAAGTGTCGAGATGATACATTCAATGGATCCAGTGATCGATCATCATTCACAGAAGATGAACTTGTTAAATGGTTGAAAGAATGTTTGCCATCGGTATCGACAATTGCAAGACACTCGGTCGAATTCGTGCGAATGTGGATTCGTTGATGAGCAAAAAATAACATATGCTCAATATTTTTCTTCTTCGTTCCTTTTACTGCTGAAAACTATTCTATGACATTGGTTGGTGAACGGCAACAAAAATGGGTTTGATCAATCGTTCTCACATAAAGAAATAGAATGATCAGTGCAGCTGATTTTAATTTCATCTTTATTTCTCATTTTTGATCCTTCACGATCATTGGTAGATACAAACATCAACGAGAACAAAGAGTAACTCGAGTACAATGATAAACAGATAACTCATTTTGACGGCATAGTACTATGCAATCATAGTACGTTCCATGTCTTCGGAATAATGCCAGAAGTTATTTATCAGCAGCGAATTTTCGACTAAAACTGATTTATTTCCTTACTTTTGAAAACGAAAGTCTAAAGAATGAATCATTAAGTTAAAAAAAGTTTTATTTTGGGTTTAATACAATAAAACTCAAAATCGGATGCAAAGTTAAATAAAGGGTGANAACCGAAGTATATGCTTATGAGTATGTTGCATTGACCAGCAGAGTATACAAAAAACTAGACAGGATTACTCACAAAACACACAATATTACACGATGAGTACTCAGATTTTAACACAAGTACCACTGATGAGCGCTCGAAACCCGTGAGTACTCATAAGTACTTGTTATTGTTTTCTAGAGTCAGTACGTTTTGAGTACTCTTCTATGAATACCTTCACTAGGATGGACTTTTAGTTCTATTTCCGTAACCGCATAGAAAACGATTGTCGATCAGTCACTTTTGTGACTTTATTTCACTAGTTGAGTTTCAGGACTAGTCGAAATCTAGTCTAGACATTCTTCAAGAAGTTTTTGACTCGATAATCAATGTTTCAATGCTGAAGAAGTTATGACATTAAAATAATTCACATCATTTCAGAACTGCAAAACAATCCTATGATATCACTTGGAAAAATTTCCATACATGAAGTCTACAAACCACAGATGAATAGGGCATTAACATCGGCGTCCACAACTCGTATATTGTATAACATCGGTGGTCGTGTATTAACTGGACCTACCAAAGTCTATGTTGTGGTGAGTATCTTCACATCATTTATTTATTATTTCTTCTGATGCATCATTTTATGTATAGTATTATGGTAGTTGGACTAATACTGAAAAAAATATTGTTAACACATTCATTGCAAGAATTGGAAGTACAGCATGGTTCAACATCACAAAAACCTACTACTCACAAGCTACATTAACAAGTCCCAAAGTATACATAAAAGGTCCGCTTACTCTCGGAAAGACAGCGACGGACTACTACAGTTATGGAACTCAACTTACTGGTTTGAGTGTACAAAATATAATTTTAAATAGTATTTCGAAGGGACGACTGCCAAGTGATCTGAACGGTATTTACCTGGTGCTCAGTTCTGCAGATGTGAGGGAAAGCTATTCAACAACTTTATCTTTCTGTAACAACTATTGCGCATACCATTTGTATACCTATGTTGGACCTATATCATACATCTACGGATTTATAGGAAATCCTAAGCAATGCATGACCCATTGCACTGCAACCAACCAAAATGTTTCACCTAATGGTAATCCGAGTGTTGACAGCATGCTAAGTTCAATTGCACATGAACTAGTCGAAGCGATGTCCGATCCACTCGGGGATGCATGGAGAGGTACGACCAAAAGTGGAGATACAAGTGAAAATGCGGATCTGTGGTAAGTATAGAAGTAAAGCTCAGTCCATGTGATGCCAAATACATTTCTCTTGCACTTTTGTTTCGAGAAACAAGTCAGTACGAGAAACTCTTCTGGTGATAGCTCTCATCATTTGTTTTTTAATTAACGACAGCCGTGCGTGTTAGAAGATCTGTAGAGAGTAGGAGTGCAACGGTTACAGTGCCAAAGAACTAAGTAGGCATGTTTCTCTCATTCTTTAGAACTGGTACTGATTTCATCCATTGATGATTCATCGACGAGTAATTATCAATCAATAAAAATCGTTAAGTATCATTGGACCAGTTTCAGTCCCAGAAACTAACGCAAAACCTGTTCTATCAAGTAGCTTTGGACCGATGAATGGACCTCGGAATAGCTGATGCTGATATTTCGTCTAACCATATCTGCATACTCATTTACATCCACGCTGTAGAATACATACCTTTCGGTCACCAGGTGAATGCCTAAACGACTAGACCATCAGGGATTATTCTCCTGTCTCGCAGGCAAGTGATCATTGCTGTGCTACGTCATTTTTGTGTGAAATTCAGTGAGTCCAATTGAGATAAGCAAAATAGCGATCTAAAAAAATAAAAAAGCATCTTTCAATAATGGCAAGATGAGATATTTTTCACGTATAACTTATTAGTTCCTGTACTATTTTATGTGATTTTTTATGATAATTGGCTTTGTAGCTATACTGAAACATCAGAAATAGGTATTTTGTTGTTCTCGAAATGTTGCGGAAGCAATGCACAAAATTGATTAGTATTCAACAACTTTTCACGATGATGTGATCATTTTTTCGGAATATAGCTGAATTATCAAAGTTGATGATTCTGACTATTATGTGTTGTTTTCCAGGACTCTCTATTTTCTAGCTATAATGAACGAATCTCAACGTATCAATCGACATAGAACACGCATATAACACATCAGTTTTCATGCAATCATATATGGAGAAAAATCACTGAGATAGAGCAAATAATGGGAACAAATTTTTTTATGACATTTCATCGAAATGCATCCATCATAGCAGCAGAATATTGACTGTGTTGAGATGTGTTGTTTTCTGTTTGTCCCAGAATATCAGCTCGCATAATAGTTCGTGGGTCGATTTCTGGTGTTATGCATGTCTATCCATTTCTTCAGATCAATTTCAAATATATTCCCATTTGATAACTGATTCTGAGAATGCGTCGAGTATCACATTTGGTACATTGTCAAGCTGAGAGCTAACAGCTTTATGCATTTTGCCCTACATTTGTGCTCAAAGTAGTTTTCTCTTCAGTCGAACAGTTCATATATTCGAATTAAAAGGGGAACAATCTGTTGACTCTTTCAGCTGCAAAGGGAATGAAGATCTGATGAAACAGTATTCTATTAGTCGAAAACTTTTGCAAAATTAACATAGTATGAAGACTTGTGTTCTTCAAGATGAGTTTCATGTTTCTTCGATAAGTGACTATTGTCATTTTAATATTTGAAACAAACTATAACACCAATGGTTTAGATCATGTTCAAAACATAGATGTATTAGCAATGTAATTGATTTTGTATTATAGTGACTGGTCGTATGGAACTGTTCATCGACTTTCAAATGGAGCTTATTATAATATGATTATCGGTGCCAAGCGTTATCTGATTCAACAAAATTGGAACGCAAAACTTCAACAATGTGCAATGTCTGCCTAAATTATTTCCTTGCATTCATCCTGACATAAAGAACTGATTTTTTGTAAGTCAGCCTGCGCGGTTAAATTGTAAACTGCTTCATTTAAAAGCAATAAATAATAGCAACCGTATAACCCTTATCTTTTCTTTCTTATATATTTATGTAAAATGAATTGTTTATAAGCACAAAAGTGTATATGTTTTCACATGTTGTTATGACCATCTCGGGGTAGCAAATCGATCATAGCTCTATCGAAAACAATAAGAATTGATTCATTAGTTTATATAGAGCACATTTTGATTGCAATATATCGTATCGATGTGGGAAGTGTTCGGAATAATTTATAATCTAAGGAAAATTTTATTTTTCATCAGAAAAAACAAACCATTTTTCGACACCATTCTTTACTTTTTTAGAAATCACTTTGTAAAGGAAAACAAGTTGTACAATAAATATGAAAATCGACATGAGACGTGTGAATAACTAAATGATGGCCGATATACTATAAAAGATTGATAGTCTTTGCACTCAAAAAGTGACCTATGATGAATAGTATTAGATAGATAACTATTGATCCTTCTATGAAAATATAATATGTAAATAGCTAATTTTTGGTCAGATTTCGATATTCTATCTTTTGACATATGACACGAAAAATGCTGTAAAAATGTTGTCATTTGAGAAACTCAGTTTTATAAGACCAATTAATCATGATGATATTCTTCAAATATACTCATGAGTGCTTGAAAGTCACACCGAATTAACCTTTTATTAACGCAACCAAACATACTAAAAGTTTGTATTTTGAGGTTTTAGATGATTCGGAAACTGATGTAAATATTAAATGAAAAAACTAAATTTTGATGAAGACTTCGGTTTCTTAATAAATCTTATAGACGTTCTTTGATAAGAGAATGAGAAGGTCGAAACCATTTTGAACTGGTATGAATTCTTCTTCAAAATCTCTAGATGATTGTAAGATAAAAGTTTCTGTTTCAGAACTTGATAGGATTTATAGAGAAATGGATTGTTTAGTAGAAATCTTTTATAGTTTGATATTGTTGAAAATTTCACCGTAGATGCAATTCGTTTCATGTAGTCTATCATGAAGTTTTCAGATTCTTTCCTTGTATGGATAAAGAAATATTTGTTACTTACTTTTTAACTAATTATCAACTTCAAGAGCCGACATTATTAAATATACATATACTAAAAGAACTTATTCAGAGAAATAATCCTTGAAAGGAATCAAAGCCCAATGAAAGATAGACATGTTCCGTTTCGCCTGGAATGACCCATATACTTTATGTGTTTGTAATGAATATAAAAAAATGAATTGAAAAGAATTTTTTTCACCATCATGTGTTGGTTTCAGAAATGAATTTCAATCATCATGGGTTGTTGATATGTATAATAGAAGAAATGGATACACTATTTTGAACAATAAAAAAATAATATTTGAATTGATGCCTTTGTCTAATATCATATCCTTCTTTTTGAATACGTAATGGACTAATTTTCCTTCATCTAGTTTCATGAAGGGCTTGTCCTTTTTTTTTTTGTTTTACAAGACTCTCATAATTGTACTCTAACTTTCATTAAATATCTATAAAAACGATACGATAAGAATTAATACATTTTAGTTTCAATGATACTTCTAATTTTCTTTTTTATCAATGAAATAAAAAGAAAAAAAAAAGAATATGTACAAGGATACTTTAATGTTATGAAATAGATATTTTATGTCTATATTTATGTATAGAGTCGTTCATGCTTGATTGAACATTTCATATATTAATGAGAGATATATAAATTGACGATCATTACTTTTTTTTATTTGAGAATTTATTTCTTCTTTATCGATCTTGAATAATGGCCAATTTTGATGCAGCTAAAGCATTATTTCTACAAGTTGATACTAATCGAGATGGAAGGTATGAAATAAAATTTTTTATAAAATTATAAATCCTGTATTTAGTATTGATCAAAATGAATTTCGTAATTGGCTTTCAAATGCAGAAGGATTAAATTCTGCATCGTATGAATCATCAACTAGTGGACTTATTCTTAATGATAATGTTACTAGTCGAATTGATGGAAATGAATATAAATTTAGTTCTCAAAATTCATTTGAATCTGCGGCTGACATAAATGCTTCATATGAAGCTGCAACAGCATCAGATGAATTGACTGGTAATACAGCGATTCATGCAAATAATGTACAACAAACGAACCAATATCTTTCACAGTCAACTAAAAATATTTATTATGATCCTAATCCACAAATTGTTCGACGAGCAGCAATTGGAGGTCCAGTAACTTATCAACAAAAAATTCTTGTTCGATTTCTTCAACCACCAGCCATTCCATCACCAGGAGTAATTAAAAAAAATGTTTACAAAATTCAATTATACTATTTTTTGCAATTTTAGCCACTTATTATTAAAGAAGTGCGTCCAGCACAACCGCCTCCACCTCCACCACTTATCGTACGCCAACGTGCACAATCTCTTCCTACACCATCTCCACTTATCTTACGTGAACGTCCACCAATACCACCAGCAATAATTGCTAGCCAAACAAGTTAAAAAAAGAAACAAATTTAAATAAATAACTTAGATTAATCAGTTTATTTTGTTTTATATAGTTATTCGCCGTTTACCTACTATACCTGTTCCACCACGATCTGTTATTATTGAACGTATTCCATCTCGTCCACAAAAACCACGTAAAATCATTATTTTCATTGATCAGCTTCAATTATTTTTCTATTTAGGTGATATTATAATTGAACGGTGGATTCCCTATGGGCCTCAACCAAAACGTCGTATCATTGTTCAACGTGCTCTTCCTGCTGTACCATATCCACAACCACGTAATATCGTCGTTATTTATGAAACTGCTCCAGCACATATAATCCGACAATTTAAAAAACTCGGTGTTATGCACGAAAATCCTCAAGCTTATATAGCTCGTTATGGGACATCACTTTTAGATTCTGCAACACTTATTCAACAAGCTCGTAATGCTGGTGTTGTTGAAGATATAGTAAGAAAAGAATATATCTCCGAAAAAAGTAAAAGAAAAACAAATTTTTGTTTTTTTTAGTCGCCTCCTGCACCACCATCTTCCATATATCTTGGCACAGGTGGAAATACTGTCCGTTTTGGTCTGTCACATCCAACAACTGGTCAAAATTTTTCGTCATCAGATGCAACTAATTTTGACGGAATTCAACTAGTTGGTGGTACAGAAGCTGTAAATCTTGGTAATACAAATTATTTATCATCAAATTTTGTTGATGATAGTGCTTTAGCTAGTAGTGTTAATATAGCTAAAGCTGCATTTGATGTAGGTGGTACAAGTTTTATTACCAAATCTGATATCATTCATGATGGACAATTAAATCAAACAGAATTGAAACGATTTCTTCAAAGCCATATCTAAATAAAGTCTTTCGTTTTCTATTCAAGAGACACTTTTTTTACAATGAAACATATAAACTATATAATAAAAGAGAAAAAAAAAATGTTAATCACATGTTACTGATACCACTATCAGCTGAATCACGTTTTCTTGTATACCATACTGGTGTTATTTTTAAACGAGCTAATTGCATTGTATCATTCCATAGATTAGCATAAAATAATAATTTATTATTTGTATTTTGAATATTTTTATCGATATAATCATTTTTTGGATACATTATTTGATGATTCATTTCCATAGATAATTGATATGTTTTATCTTTTCCGTTTAATATAAATTTTAGTGTGTCTTGCATAAAAACTATTTTAATAAGTTCACTAAGATTAATAGAAAAATCTTCAACTTGATCTAATTTTCCACCATATATATGTAATTGATAATCTTCTTGTAATTCAATCCAATTAGTCGATTTTGAAGGAAGCAAACGAAAATCACCAAATAAAATTGTTTTATTTTCATCACGTGTTATTTTTTGACATGAAAATCGATTTCTATCAATGCCAGTAAAATTTCTATAACATAGATCACAAACACGTACTTCACCATTGTTATTACAATATTTAAGAATTAATTTTTTTGTTGAACATGAGCTACATGTACAACGACCACATGATTGACAATGGTATCGTCGAGAAGGAATTAATTTCGAACCAAAAGAGTTATGACAGATTTGACAACGTGTCACATCAGCATCATTGACCCATATAGGAGCATGAGTACCTAATTGTTGTTCATCAGAACGACGAAACGATTGACGAACTAAAGTAGAATAATAAAAGAAAAACTATAATATTTATTTTTTGATAAAAAACAAAATAAGTTTGACTGAAGTCAATAAATGCTTTTTCATCTTTATATGATCATTTTCTGAGTAAGTTCTTTTAATATAAACATATGTAAAAATGTTGGTATTTTCAGTTGAATAGTAATTAAAAGTAATTAGTAAATATCTGTCTAACCATACTAGGAAAAATATCCGAAAACTTTAGGATAAGTTCTATGGCACGAATCGAATCTGTGGTAAAATTTTTAGAAAGGTAGAACTCCAAAATGTTTTTTCTTGAAAAGTGGTTTCCCTACAGATCTTATGAAGTCCTGAAACATACATTTTTGTCTTACCATCATCGAGAGATTCTGAAAAAGAACTTACACTGTTTGATTGTAATTGATTTTGAACTTCTCATTCGATTATAAGAACATTTTTTGTTTATATGTTCGTACACTCTTATGTCGCTAATAAAAAGTAAATCAATTTGGTTTTAAAATCTAGGCATGCTAAGAAAAAACTTTGCATAGAGATTTCGTAGCGTCAGAAGTTATTTTCATTGATATTTAAAAATACCTTCTAAATTTAGAGTTCTTTTTTCAAGCAAATGCATGAAATGAAAATCGATGTTGTCTTTTGGTATCACATTGCTAACGATAGTTTTCTACTAATGAGTTCTCTGAACAAAGTTCTCCAGTGCTGATTTTTACAAGGTATCTAGAATAATGTAACACGCATATGACATATAAAAACTAGCTCTAGGCAAGTTCATTACGTCGACATGCGCGTGTGTTTTGATCGTTTTAGTTCTTGTAACATGAAAATTTTGAATCGATTTATATAAATTGGATTGAGCGAAAATTTATCTTTGGTTGTGTAAATAAAGTTTGAATTTGCTTATAGAAGTTTAGAATTGAATATATGCGTCAAATGAAAACAGTGAATTGCGTTGGGCTTTAACGAACATCATAAAATTTAATACTCGCAAAGTCGAACAGAGTTACTCAAAATTCTATAAGATTAGAATATTCAGTAGTAATCGTAACTTTCTAGGATGACAATGGTTTCTGGTTTCTATGCAATTTTTCGAATTTCTATTTTGTTTTGCAGAGCTTTAAACAATTTGAGTGAAGAGAGTGCTTATGAATTCTCATCAAACTCTAAATTCCTAATTCTTTCTTTCCTATTTGATATATATGTACAGTGATAACATATAATGATGGTATAATTTATTAATACCACAGACTTGTTTTGTCTACATTGATTGATGAAAATGCGAAATGAATATATAACTTACTTTCTATAGTTGTATTTCGTCTTTGAAAATCTTCACTGGCTTGTCTAATTTTATTCATCCATTTTTCTCTATCTGATTCTTTATCAACTATAAATTCATAAGATTTTTCAATAGCATCAATACGAAATGGATAATAAGTAATAGGGGATAATTGTTGGAAATTAGTTGAATTAGATGATGCTGATGATAACCGTTCACGTTCGATAATTTCAACTCTGATATTTTTTATTGATAATTGTCGTTTTATTTCAAGTTTATTTCCTGATTCTCCACAGATAAGTATACAATCAGAAAATAATATAATATAATACTGACTAATATCAGTATATTTACGAGGTGGTAGTTTTTTCAATAGACCATGCCAAAGAAGTTGTTGTTTTTCAAAGCATTCTGGTTTGCCATTCACTCGTAATTTTAATTTATTTAATTGTGCTGAAGATATAGCTAAATGTTCTTGACATCGTTCAGCTATACGATTTAGTTCATCATGTACAAAGCATGTGTGATCATAGTCAGGAGAGTCTTGATCAAGATGTTTCATATAGCTTTTCATTAGAAGAATGTAACTAAAATAAATAAAACCATGATCAAGGAAATATTGATAATGAAAATAAAGAAAAAGAGATATTTAAAACAGATAACATTTCAAAATATTCTCCGTGTCTTTTAAGATCGAAAAACTCGATTTCAAGTTGATCAGGTTATTATGATAGCTCCAAACAGTGTCCTGCAACATGAATCCAATCCGTCCAATTAATGAGATCTCTACATTTTAAAATATTTTTACTATTTTAGATTACAAAAGTGGAAAGCGACATTGTTTTATTAAAAGAATTTTTTTTTTCTCTAATGAAAATTTATCTAAAGATAATGATGAACCATATGATCAAGTAACTAAATGCATGAAGAAGAAAATGCATTATTAACAAGATGACCATGTATTATCGTGATAGAAAAAAAAGCATTCATGCATGTAATAAACGTTTGAAAATCATACTGTGACTGTGAAAGTATCAGCTAGATGTCAATTAGCTTCGGTCCGGATCTGGTTGCGAAAAGTCGTATGCATATAGGACACGAGTGCTAAGTGTTTTGTTCTTTTGTCTTTTAGTTACGAGGAAAAGTCGTCGAATTGATGAATTACTTTTGAGTCGGCACATTATGCATCATGTGAGTCCTAATAAGTTATGAATACTCTGAAAAGAGTTATTGCTGTGGAGATACTGCATTCTTAAGGTAGTTTTTAAATCAAAGTCGTAGTCCCCCTCAATAACAGTGGAAAAATTGATTTATGAATTTCAATTTGAAATTTTGAACATATATAAACATTTAATAGAATAATTTATGTGAAAGTGTCTGATCTTCTCGTCATTCCTATCTTAAAACATGTCTATGGTAAAAATGTCTATTTATATCGTTCACATACACAGATAAATTCGGTGTTCTTGTTTCACGATAGTAACAAATCATAAGACCTAAAATTTTCCCAATGACGTATTCTGTTTAACTGTTATCCCTGTGGAAAATTTCAAGTCGAAATTCGAAAATCAACTTTTTCGATGTTCCTAAAGAGGATCATGGCATTATGCTAAAAGGTACCGTAGAAATGCAGTATCTCGACAGTAATAATTTAACAGCGCGAACCATTTTCAAGATATTCGTAACTTATTAGAGTCTATATGATGTACATTATCCTGACTCAAAAAGCGATTTATTAATTAAAGCACTTTCCTAGTTAATGCAATACTG